AGCGCCGGTTATATCCGGCATCCACTAAATGCTTCACACTGGCTAGCGCCGGTTATACCCGGCATCCAGTAAGCGCGTCGCATTGGCTCGCGCCTCAACAACTCAAAGTGAAGATTTATTTTAAAATACAGAACAAGGCCTCAATGACATTCCCTTTGTCCGATACACCCTTAAGTCTTCTGCTGTTCCAACGAAATCCTGTAAGATTTGAAAAAACGCGAGACACTCTTAATGTGTATGGTGTGCACTAATGGCACGACGACCCGTTCGTTAGTGGCGTACCGATGCCTAGTTCCGCCGTCGCGAAAGGGTTAATACATTTTTGGTTAATACCCTATCCTGTGTTAAATTTACTTAAGTTGTGCTAACAGTTGTATTGTTTAACAAGTTCTATCAGTATGTAGTGCGATTTTTTACAAAAGTGCATTGGTGTAGTTGAAAAGTGCAAGTGCACTTGTTTTTCAAATGGAACCCTACGATTTCTTAGCATGAATTAATTCCTCGTGCCATTCTGAATAAGAAAGTGTTAACCGTTTGCAATCTAGTGGCGACTGAGAAGCGAGATTAAATAATCGTCACTTGGTGAATAGTTAATGAAGACAGAGAACAGATCTATGGGCTTCCATAAATTTCTTCACCACGGTGAAATAGAGAATACGTTGAATATTTAAATAAAATAGTATACTTTATTTCTACGTTAGTTTGAAAAAATTTCAAAGATCCTATTTGCAACCTTTTCTACAGCAAAATTACCTCCGAGTGCAAAGGGTTAAGGTAAAATCATGAAAAAACTCAATATTTTTCGAAACACTTAACTTTTTTTGGACACCTACAGCAATTTTTTCCATCTTCAATAGGAACAGAGCCCAGTTACTAGACTCATTCCGTATTTTGTGATCACAAAATACATTCATTAAGGATTTTGAAAAGTTTAGAAATATTCCAAATCTTAATGTATGATAATAGATCTGAGATACTGAGATCTGAAGTGATATTTCATTAAACATAGACACTTGGTACCTCTCATAAGCCTAAGACTCACATGGGAAGTTCGGTAACCCGAAAATTCGAAAACATCTGAAACTTTGCAGAAATCTAGCTCAATTGGCGCTAATAAAGAATCCATTTGTTTAATTCGACAATGAAACAGTCTTAAGGAGGAAAACTCTTCTCAACAAAATTATGAGTTTTCTTACTGTCTTGAATATTTTTCGAAACCGTACAAGATATGGAAAAAAGTTAAATTCAAAGTTGTCTGGTTCTTCATATCCCACATTTTGGTAGTAAAGAATTTTCGTCAAAGTTTACCCCTACCACTCTTAATTGAAAAAAAAAACTGGTTTTCCAAAAATTCTATATCACCATAATGTAGGATATCAGAAACTAAACAGCTTTGAATTTAACTTTTTATCTATATGCTGTACGGTTTCGCAAATATTCACGATAACATGAAAACTCACAATTGTTTAAAGGGGATGTTTTCACCCTTAGGACCGTTTACCGAAATAAAAAATGGTTTCAGCTGAGTTTCAAATTTTCTGAAATTTTCAGATTACCGAACTTCCCTTGTTAGCTTGCATTAAAGAACTTAGGTAAAAAATTTATCGCTGAATGAATTAAATGTAAATGGTGAAAAAAAGAAAACGCACCCGTCGCCAAACTCCATGCGACACTGTTCGTCCATAGTGAAAGTTTCGCGTACGGTAGCTTTCAGCTGAGAGGAATCATCGTGCCTTGGCTTGTTCAACAAACAGGACCACCGTCTACAAATACCTATTTTAGGAGTATGTAATTCTAAAAAAGGCATGCTCGAATAAAACGACCTCACTCACCTTACTCTTCGATGGAACTCCTTCTTTGAGCAGGCGGACCAATAGAAATGATGAAACGTTGCGGCCACCATAGGCGCCATCACGCTTCCTCGAGAAGCTTCTTCTTTGCAAGCGTTTCCGGTCGACTCGTCTCCGTCGTGAGTCAGACCTAGGCTACGAGAAACACGTTCGTGCATTGTTGAAGCGCACAGGAAACAGTTTTGCTTAACAAGTTGAAGACGATGAAAAATGTCTTCGTGCACGGTTTATGAAAACTTGAACACGTTCGTCAGATTTTAACGCTATACGCATTAGCAAACAGGGCCGCGTCGGGCAAAATTGGTTCGTGCCTATTGGTTTCAAGAAGGAATTGGGTATAAATGTGTATACCTTTCAACTGTATATATTTTATAGTTTTCTCGTTTATTCTGAGCGCGCCTGACTTTATCGCTGTTGAGTCAAAATGGCCCTGTATTCGTCGTACGAGGGTTAACAAAATGCTAAGCAGGTACGAATGAAATGATGTACAAAAACGGAAACTTGTACGAGTCTCCTTAGCAAGCGGAATGTTCGGTCTTCATATGCACGGTGTATGGCAACGGTTATTTTTGAGTTCAGGATTTCGTTTACTGCTTGTACGTGTCTAATTACACCCTGGCGAGGGTCACCAGAATTGCTTGTTGGATTTTTAGCAATTTCTGTCCCTCGCGCTCAATAGCCTAAGAACATGCCATAAACCACGAATTTCCGAACGGCACATCTACCTGTAACGGTACGCTTGCCGATGAGTCACCCGGAGGAAATTCCAGCTTTTTGGGACTTTCCACCCTTCCAAGGTGACAGCGCGCTAAGGGCGCACTGGAAGGGCGGTGAAGACGCTATTAGACACCCTGATTGGTAAATGTAATTGTTAACTATTTAACCAATCAGCGTGCTCTAACCAAAAAACTCTCCCACGGACGTCCGAGGGACGACGTCGAGAGTCAGTCGTCCAACAAACACCAAGGAGCAACCAGCTCAAATTGTAACCACTTCACTAGTCCCAGTATAACTAGGTGGTCCTTCGAGCAGGTTTTGAAATAAAGTTGGCACATCACGTGCAAGTACAAACCAAGCTCGAAAGTTGATTTTGCAACAATCACGGGCATTAACACGGAACATTGACAAGTTTGAAAAATAGAGCGCGTAACGCGTTATTAGAAGTAGTGATTTTTTCTTACTGCAATAGTAGTGCAACATGTATAACACTCACATATGTGCAACTTCGTGCGCTATGATAAAAGCGCTGGTCAGGCCCTCGTCTCGATTTAAGGCACATGACCTCGCCGGATCGCATACTCCGGATACAGGTGCGTACCCAGAAGGTCCTCCTATATCTAACCGCGTCAGCCATACTGCAACATCGTAATTCACGTCCGTCGAAGACAACAGCTTTCTGTTCCATTTGTTCACATTTTCGAGAGACCGCCGAGCGTCTCCGCGACGAACCTGTAATAAAATTCAGATATTTATATTTAACCAATCATTCATAATTCATCGATAAACACTTATTTCGCCACTTTATCACACCTGAACGTATTTTACATGATTTCGATTAATGTTTCTGATATAGGTAATACAATGTAATAACACAAACGACAAATTTCATGGAAAATAAATATAAAACGTTTACGTAAATTATTAAATAGCCTATCGCGTTCTATTGAACTAGGAAAAAGGCATAAAAATACTTTTAATTTACTATGTATGTGCACTACCGTTCATAATTATTAGGACACCCGTTATGTTCGTGTACATTTCCTCGCCAAAGTTAGTGTCATATATTAGTGAAGATATACATATGTACTCGTTATACTTGGACATTCTAGAATGAACAATTCTTTTTTAGGATTTTGATAATTTTGTAATAACTTTTGCGCGTCAATTAATTTTATATTAAACTTAGAATGACAACGAGGCTCGCTTCACATTCGATAAGTACAGTTTAGTACATTTCAGTAGAACGCAGTGGATTTTAATAGAATTCAGCAGATTTCGGTAGATTTCAATAGACTTCGCCAAAATTTACTAAACGGTAGATTTCAGTGTGCTTTACATTCGGCAAGTGTCCTAATACTTATGACCGACTTTTCTTCCACAAGCATTGCAAAATAAGTGAAATCCGATATTTTCACGAGAAACTTGTTAAATGAAGTTGCTTATTGAAATGAACAATCGCGAATAAAATGGTGAGCAAATGGTAAAATAAATTCCTTACCATGCAATCTCTTTTTTCCGCGTATAAAATCAGCCGTACAATCACCAGGATCATATTTGATTCAAGAGATGGATCCATATAAATTGCACTAACCTGCAGTCAGAGTAAATTGATTTTGATTCAACTAAAGCTAAAACTGTATAAATTATTGTTACTCTTTGCTAAAGACGATATTTCTCTGGATACACTTATCTTTCAAGTATTGTTCATCAATTTTTAACAGTACTTACGATATTTAAAAGCGCCAAAATATATTGCTGCACGCGAATACCATGAAAATCTATGACAGAATAATCAGCAGCTACTCCAAGCTCCAGCCACCGCGGTGGTGATTCTTTAACAGCAGGTCTTTTTTCTAGAAATACACTAATCAACTTATTTCCGACCGGATCAGATAGAAAATAATTCTTTCAAAGTTTATAGGCTGACTGCATGCTCGTTAAGAATATACAACAGGTATTTATTTGCAAATGTATATTTTATTAAGGCTGCTACTTACTGGGTTAGCATTTAAAAACATTCTCAATTAGTACTATGAACAAATAGTCAGTATATAAAAGAAAACACAAATATGTAATATACACTACCGGCCAAAAGTTTGGAATCACCGAGCACTGCAATTTACACAAAAATTTCCTGACAAACGTCTGCGACTTTGAGAATTTTTCATCATTCGAATCAATTGATATGAGATAAATTGATAAATGTAGGAGATAAACTTCAAATGTATAAAAACTTTTAAGATTTAATATTGATGAAACGTGGGAGGTGATTCCAAACTTCTGGCCGGTAGTGTGAGTGGTCAGTATTACATCGGTTAATAAAAAAATTGTCAGGATTTTCGTGCAAGTATTAGTAAACATAATAATTTGTCAGTATTTTAAGTAGGCTAACCTAACCAAAAGTTTAGATTTTTTTGACTAAAAAACAAATCAACACGGACCAAATAAGCAAAATTGTATTGACAAAATGCGATTTAATACTGACAATTAATTATTTATACTGGTCAAAATATTCATTTTTACTGACTATTTATTTGAAAAAATTCTTACTATTAATTTAATAAAATACTGACCAAATAAATAGAAGTGTTTTATAGAAAAGCTTGTAAAATTTTGTAACATATGCTGTTCTTGTTGAGTAATGTTATTCTACATAAATCTAATTTTAGAGCAATAATACTATGGGAATGGAAATTTCGTGTGAATGTTTATAACGAATCAGAGTATGTTAGAGTTTCAAGCGCGACCGAGGGATGCTTGGACCAGAGTGACAGAGGTGCGAAAGAAGAGTGTTTGAGATTGCGGTGTGAAAGAAGAATGCGTGGCCACCCAAGGATTTTGGTGAACGTGACTAAATGCTGTCTTGGAATGTCCGGAAATTTCAAGTGAATCGAATGAAAATTGTACAAGTTACGGACAACACCGACTTCAATTATGTCATTCTGAGAAAAACTCGTTTAAAGTTTCCATTACTGATTGATGGCGCGGTGACGCGCTTCGCTAAATCGGCTCTAATGGCGTGAAAAAATTGTACATTGGAACTGTTTGGATTGTAGTTTCAATTCTTATCACTTCAGCTGTTTAGCGCGACTTTTCAACTCCAAGTTAAGCATTCTCGATATTTGTTTGCTCATTCTCGCTTAAATGCGACACTAACATGCAAATCATTTTGAAACAATCTTTATTTATTTCGAAAGTAATATGATTTAAGTGATAATATGAGTAAGTGATAAGGGTTGAAAGTATGAATTATTAATTTAAGTAAAAAAAAGAATTCGATTTTTTCAAACTTCAGAGGTGGTCTAACCCCTCACTACCTGTCTAAAATATAGCAATTATAGACGATTATAAATTTGCAAGTAATTCACTAATTATGGAGGATTATTATTAGGAGTATTGTTTGGAAAAATGTTTAGTTTACTTGGTACTTTGTTCCTTTGCCACGTAGGACCAGAAAAGTAACCCATTTCTCCCAAATTTATGTCAATCGACAATTTCTCCACTATCGTATCGTTGTACTCTGCAGGTATTTGGTCTTTGTCGTCATATAGAATCAGCTTCTCAGCTTCTGGATACTCTACGTCAAAGACGTCACCGGAAAGATTGTAAAATTCTTGAACATTATGGTTTAGAGAATTTCGCCTTCTTCGTTTGGACTTGTTTCCCTCTCCTCTAATCGTCAATTTTTTTAAGTTTTCTGTAATGAAATTATTACTTCTCGTTACTTTCGTTTCCATACTCTGCAATATTTCCTATTGCTATAAATATTATTTGTCAATTACTGTTTCTTAAAATATCTTAATAATAAATGCATTCACATAGTCAATGAAAATAAATAAATTAAACTATCTTACACTGACCCATAAGAATGCGATATATTAACCCTGCTACGGTTTTTGGTTCTTCTTCGATTCAACACGTTCTCATTTCTTTAAGAACTTCTGTTGTTGTCAAAAAATTGTAACGAAATTGTTATTGATATGTCTACTTCTATTCTCTTAATATTATACCAAAAGTTTGTTATCTGGGCTCGTTCGGTGTGGCGGTAACGAAAATTGTTACACATTAGGTCGTTGGGTCTTTTTTGACCCAACGCAAAAGACATTACTAACCCTTCGCAATCGAGTGGCGACTGAGAAGCGGCATTAAATAATCGTCACTTGGTGAATAGTTAATGAAGACAGAGAACAGATCTATGGGCCTCCATAAATTTCTTCACTGAATATTTAAATAAAATAGTATACTTCATTTCTACGTTAGTTTGAAAAAATTTCAAAGATCCCATTTGCAACCTTCTCTACAACAAAATCACCTCCGAATGCAAAGGGGTTGAAAGACAAAAATCATCAATCGTGGTCAAGTTCTACACAACAGTAAATGATGGTAAAGTCGAGAGAAAATAACTAGAATATTTCTATTGATGCCAAAAAAGTGAATCACTGTATGGTGGAATCGAAATTCTAATGCGATGCACAATTCTTTTGCCGCTGTAGAGATGCAATGTGAGACTTTCTGGGACAGTATAAGTATTTCTTTCTATATTTTCTTGGTCCCTTTGTTACGCTGTAAAATTAAAAATACGAATTCTGCATATTCGGATCGTTTTCGACCCAAAGACCGCAGCAGGGTTAAATACAAATAAATGAATTAAGTATCTAATATCAAATGCAAAATAAAATGCACGTGCACAAATTGTTTGGCAGTGTAAGAACAATGAATGTAAAGTTTGTGCAACAGTATTAAAATTAAAATTGAAATTAAACGCGGCTATTGAAATACGTGTTTGTAATCTACATGAAAAGGTGAAACGAGAGATTCTGTAACATATTCTAATAAGAGTTAACGGGAACGCAGATTTGTTTATTGAAATGAGAACGAATGGCTACGCGTTTTGTAAAAATTTTATTTAAACAGTTAAGGTAAATACATCGTCAAACTATAATTTTGGTGATAATTTTTAAAACTAACTAAACTAACTAAAATAATTTTTAGAAATGTTTATAAGAAATAAATAGTAAATTAAAATTTTTGCATTCATTAGTACAGATTAATAGGAACTGTAAAATTATCAGTTTAAATATCGTAGCTTTTAATTTCCCTCCATTTTCAATTTAACCCCAACTTCAAATTGAATATCTCTAAAAATGATGGCACACTTAAAGTATGCATTTTAGACAAATTTTAAGAATAGAAGTGAATGAATTCGTTTAAATATTAATGTAAATGTGTCGATTAATTTTCGTGAAACCTGTTTCCATTATTGAAATGTTAACTATGAATAATTTAAATCTAAAAAGAAAATCGTATTGCATTCACTTTTCCAAATTATCGACAAAATTTAGTAATAATTTCTACGTTGAAATTTCTCCGTTTCAAAACGGTAGCATTCGATAATCATCGACAATCAAAATTTCACTGCAAAGCGATTTAATTCGTAAGTAGAAAGTTTCGCGTTTCGAATTTTCCGAATACGTGTAATTTTCACTGCAGCTCGAGTTATGTGAGAAATGAAGTTATTGGGTTGCACGGAAACTTGGCGCGTTTTTATTTTGTCGTACACTCTGTTATATCATTTTTATGGCAAATAATTTATTTAATCTCCCAACGTTCTACGATCTTTTCGAACCCATCTTTACAGAATTCCCGCGGTTTGGGTGAGAAGTAATCTTGAAGGGCGTTATTGATCTGTTCACAGTTCTTGAATTGTTTTCTCATTCAAATAATTTTGCGACGATCTGAATAAATGGTAATCAGATGGTGCTCAATCGGGCGAATATAGGGGATGCTCCGTAATTTCCCATAACTACGATTTATTTAAGAGGACAATTCTTTATTTCACTGCTCCGTCCTTTTTTTTTTTAAATCCATTTTGTTCGGGAAGAGGATTATATTCGAAAAAGGAGAGATTGAAAATGTTGCCTTCCTTTCTGGATTTATGATTATTTATATACGTAATTCTAGTAACTGTGCTGTCGTAAAAACCAGTTTCTAATTCAAAACAATCAGGTTTTTTAAGACTTCGATAAAGAAGAATTGTACAGAACATTAAATGCACGAGTGTCTAATAAAATAATAACATTGAGAAAAAGAAGGAGTAAATGACGTTTACAAAATTATCTTTTGCAGTGAAGAAATATACCGGTAATTATCTCCTTATTCTTACTGTGACATTGCTGTATTAGGCGGTCAATTTATTAGGGTTTAATTTAAAAAAAATTCTAATATCGTTGTTCTAGAAGTTACTAGAAAAATGTTCTAAACATTCGTCTATAAATAGTCATTTCTAAAAACACTTCTATTTACTTGGTCAGTATAAATAATTAATTGCCAGTATTAAATCGCATTTCGTCAGTACAATTTTGTTTATTTGGTCGGTATTCGTTTCTTTTTTGGTCAATAAAATTTAAATTTTTAGCTAGATCAGGTTAGGTTACAATATTTTATTATACACACTGACCGTCTATTTAAAATACTGAAAAATTATTATATTAGATGTAATACTGACCACTTATATTACGTACCGAAGTTTTATTTTAAATACCCAAAAGGAATCTTCAAGGTATAATAGATGTAGATTAACATTGTACAAATGTGTCTGTACTAGCTGTATAAGTTTGTACAAAAGGGCATTATTCGATAATAATAACAATACTGCCCGTTTATTTGAAATACCGATTAAAAATTTGTCAAAATACTGACCCAATAAATAGCAGCCATATAACAGAATCAATCAAAAATGAGAAGTTACCGTACCAAAAAGAGCTCTACCTGTAGGATTCTCTCGGCTAAGGGTCACAACATCAGGATTTTCCGTAGACGACCACCACCTAGCATACTTGGACTGGTACATCACGTGTTGACCATCCATTAAAGGCTGGACGAAAAACGACTTTTGCTCTGTCACCATCAAAGCGTACACTTCTTCTTTACAAAGCGTCACCACGACCAAGGAACGCGCGTCACCTTCTAAGCTGCCTTGCCGAAGGTTGCAGTCCACCTTCGTGTCGTATATATCAGATTTCATTTGACTCGAGTGCACCCAATTCACCGTGAAACTGGACGACAGTATCAATCTATCGTTCGCCACCGTCTTCATCGTCCAGTTACTGATCTCGAGGAATACCGGCTCCTCAAGTTCGTCGGACAAAGTTTCTTGCTCCTCGGTCGATCTCTTGTTCCGCGCGTTTCCATTGGAAATCACTCGAGGATAAACGATCTCGTACTCTTGCAAGCTCTGCAAAAAGTCGCTCACTCTCGATTTAGTTGCGATCGTGCCGAGCAACCACGTGGCCAGAAGGAAGCTGGGAAGTTTTGACTGCGGCATGGTTCGTGCTTGGACGAAATTTCAACAGGGTCTTCCGGACGTTCGAAATTCGGCAAGCATGTCAATGTAAACGTAGTTACAGCCGACCAATTCCGTTCGAACTACGTGCAAGCTTGCCTTAATCACTTTGCGGTATATCCGAGAACGAGCGATGATACGGAACTGATGTACAACTTACGATATCGTTTCGATTAAACATTTTCTGCCGCTTCGCTCGAGTTCGTGCATCTACGTAACATGGAATTAATTGATATAAATGATATTAATAATTTTCCACGATACTTACGACAATATTCACTCGTTTGTTAACGATCTTCGAGCAATTTCCCGAGGAAAGAAATTTCGCAAATTGTCAGTACTTGGACAAGATTTTGCGTTCGGCTAGAGAATCGACAGGAATAATCGACCGATCCATCACGAAGAGAAACACGATTTCCACAGGAAGCGTCTTTCACTTTTCACGATCCATTTCGCTCACCATCGAGCTTGCGAACCCGTGTCGTTCAGCTCGATCATTTTCCGTACACCGCGTAAATCTTCGACGCACATCGGGGCAACCCCATCGATCTTAACGCGGTGGAACAGAATCAACGGCGATAATTGAATCAACAAGCGTGACAAATAGACGAGAGTAAGGCGAATAAAAGTAGAGCGTACGATAAGAGACGCGTCGCGACAATCGCACGCCTCCTCCTCTGTCAACGCACACGCGAATTTCCAGCGAACCTTCCGATCGAACGGGAATCCCGTGAGTTGAAACGCGCGCGTTCTATCGGCGTTCCGAAGGGATCGGCTCTCCGTTGGGCTTAGCTGGATCGCGCTCGAACGCGATACTCCGAATGAACAATTCGATGAAAAGCAAACTCGCGGCGCGAATGAGCGAGCGTTGTGCTGCAACTGGCAGCCACATGCACGGAGGAACGCGGCCCGAAACGCAGCAACGCGAGTGCAGCAACGAATTGTGCGTAAGAGTAAGCGCGAACGCAAGGCTGGAAAAAGCACCACCGCTTGCCGCCCACTGAAGTTCTAATAATGGCAGCTTTATGTGCAATCACCGAGAAACGAGGATGCTGGCGAACGCATTGTCCGACTCTGCTGCCGCCGGTTCAACAAAAGGCCGAGGATTTTGTCTTTGACGCCGCCACGGCATGGCGGAATACCTCGTTTCCCTTGAACCGCGAACTCGAATCACATGCGCGAACCCAATCAATCTAATGAACGGGAATTAAATCTGTTTCGGGCAGCTCTTCCTTTCGCTGAAATAAGAAACACGGAGTGATGCAGCGTGTACAGGCACGTGACCAAGTATTTCATGGTTCAGGGTTTACAGTGGAAGTAAGAAGTGCGAAATAGTGCAGTAGCAAGTGAATGAGATGAGAAAAAAGAAAGAATGGATATTAACACTTTGCCGACCGAACGAATTGCAACTGAACAGATACCTGAGATTGCTAAAATGAATTGTAGAAAAACTGATAAAGTGTTCTATGTTAGGAAGATTACTAATGTAAATGTTCGTTACATCGACAATATTACGGAACGACAGTTTTTGAAACGCGAAGAGAAACGAGAATGAAATATTCTACGTATCGGTCTACGATTTACCACATCGGTTATGACAAAAGGGTATTTTAGAGCTTCGTTTTAACGAAGAAGTGGACATTTTCAGCGTATCGATTTGCTAATTTAGTAATTTTATTTCATGGATTCGGGGAGCTGTAACATGTTTTCATAGTTAACGGCAAGTCGATGACGGTAGTCCACGTAAAACAGGCCACCGAATTATCTTTTCTAGCTATGGCGGTACGAAAACATTTTTGCACGTAATTTAAATGGCTTCAAAGGGTAAAGATGGAAACAAAATTTTGCTATAAATCCCACTTTTTCTGCTTTCTTCGAGGTCACCTATGTTTTCTTATACGGATGTATATATTTTTTCTGCTGTACGCTGTAGCAGACGTCGATGTGCATTTAATCATGCATAATAATATAACCTCAAAATGTATAAATCAAATGTGAAACTTTCTTTAATTTTTTGCAATTTTCTCTTCCGCCTTATTCACACTTTGAAACCGTTTAAATTACGCATGAAAATTTTCTCGTACCGTCTTGGCTAGATAAGGTAATTAGATGACCTGTTTTACGCAGCCCACCCTGTATATCGAAGCGCGAAATATCGGCGAAATTGTTGCTTGAATAGTCGTTGTTCTGGACGCAGTGTTTATTTATTTCAAGCGAAAAATAATAGTTCACATTTATTCCGTTTCAACGCTAAAAAAAATACCGACTGGATTGAAATGAGATATCAGCATCTTTGCAAAAGTGAATTTTTATGTAATTCGAAAGGTGATTGAAAAATTTGTCTGACGTCGATACGAACAGAAGTAACCATAGAGAAAACAAAGGCAGAACGATACAAACGATAATATTTGTCAGATTGAAAATTCTCTTTTTTTGGGGGGGAAAGTTGCTAACGGGTCACTTTTGACCCGGCCAGTCTTTCGGCCAGTGTGCACACAAATATGGTTCAATTAAGACGTGACCTGAAGAAAAATTATATTTGTCGGTTATCGTGTGAGATTCTTTCCAGGAACGGTTTTATTGTTTCTTAATAAGACAATAACATTTTACCTTTTACGATATATCTCAGTTTTTATAATAATTAGTGTCACATGGAGCTTCCTATTATTCACAGTCGTGCAAAGTGATTTATATTATATACTTCTGCAATTGGATACTTAAATTCTACGGCATAATATTCTACGTAGCGACGATCTTCGCAAAAATTCTGTAATCTGTAATCTACAGTACGATTATAACACGAGCAGGCAGTTAATAATATCTGAAAATATAAATCAAACAAAATAGTAATAATACAAACATTTAGATACCTTAAAAGTGAAGAACTTTCATTTATTTCACGAAGAATCTTAGCATCGGTAGAACAAATTTTCGCTTCAACAGTAGAAATTTATAAAATACGTTGAAACAAAAACCAACTATGAATAATGCGAACTAATTAATTCGGATAGGATTACTTTTTTAACTTTTAGTAAACCGATCAGTATTTGCAATCCTTGAGAGAGATTGCAATATTTAACGGCAAATATGTGAATTGGTCTTCTGTTAGTCAATGGACAATTAAACAATCAAGTGTTCTGAAGGACTTTTACAGAAGCCAAGGATTGTAAAACCCTGAGCTCGAAGACGGGTTTTAATTCAAACGAAGCTTTCTTCGTTTCTACGAACCCGATAACACGCAGATTTCCAGGATGCTGTCGGATAGAATGCCCGACGTTAAACTGAATGCTTCCATTTAAGTTGTGTAACTACGTTAATTGGTCACAGCTGTAAGTGTAGCGTCAATTCAAGCAATACAATTATATGAATTTGGATACCTGACACTAGAGGAACATGGGAAAATTTCATTTCTGTCTTCCTACTGAAATTTTAGTATTGTGTGCAACATTTACCGCCTTCCTATGTTCGCAAAATACCTCTTCCGTGATCGAATTAATTAGTTAGGAATTATTTACGAATTGCAGTTTATTAAAAAATTATTAGGTCATCCGGTAAGTTTGTGCCGAAAGCGAAAAATATTTCAATGAAAATCCAGGGAAATTTTGCAGTGACATGATCTTACCAAAAAAAGAAAGAGAAACTTGTGGAACGAGAAGGTGTTTATTTTTCTTTTATCAAATTTAAAGGTTCGTTGGAAATATTGATCGAAATTATAAAATTTGACACGAACTTGTGGGATGACCTACTATCTACTTTAAAAATAATACTTACCTCTACAACAAATTGAACGATGATGTTAATGTGACAAACTGCAAATTAGATATACAAGACGTATTTTATTAGAGATTTTTTAATACGTTCAATTAATACTTTTTTTACATTTGATGGATCAATAGACAAAATTTCTGATTAAATTCATCGTGCGTAGGATTACGCAAGGTTTAGTGTAACTACGGCCCTGGTCAAAAGTATCGGGCACAGTTGTTATTACAATTTACCGCGGAAACTAATTTTTCGAAGCCTTTCTATTTTTTAATCGTCCTTTTTCGGCCAATTCAAAGTGAATTCAAAATACTCGACAAGGTTTATAACGTGTCATAAAAGAACCGAGCTACATTTTGCGTTTTTTCCTGAGTTTTGCGGTTAATACTTTGAAAGTTAAAAAGTTTTCCTGTAAATATGCCAAAAAAGAGGGAACTGAATATTAATTTTTCCTTTTTTCTTTTAAACAAATTAAAAGTCAGAGAAACTCCCGCGATTGTCAAATGATGGCAAAGAGTGGCCCAACAAAGTGTCGACGAAATGAATAAAAAATGATTATTTTTACATTTCGATACTTGGAAATTATTTATTTCCTCCTAATACAAAAATATTTTTAAATAATTCAATTTTACGGGGTGCCTATTACTTTCAACCAATGCTGTATTCGTATAGCTTCGCATAAATATAAAATTAATCGAAATATCTTAACTGCCAATGAAGACGTTTGATCTTATTTTCCTATAAAAGACTGAACACATTACTCTCAATTGTATTTACGTTCCTGAAAGTGTACATAAACTTACAAAACTTATTTCCTTTAAACATTGTCAATTGAACCACTCGGATGCCGAAGTGACTAACTCCGTTGAATAAAATTCGTTAAATTTGTTTCATTTATGAAAAATTAAGCGACAGGCGCGTGCTTTGACGCTAAAATTGGAGGAATATCGAAAAGTAGAGTTGATCATTTCGACTTCTGAGCGGCTCAATTATCCGATACCAATCCAAAATTGAGGTACAATTAACTGCACAACGCTCCTGCATCCCGTTTTTACATCGCTGATTTTATTTTCAGAAGTGTAATCGCAACAATGCACATACGTTCGAAATCAAATCCGTCCATATACAAAATTAAATTAGTATTTTCATTCTTAACGTATTGCTCGTTGCACTTATACAGGGTGTCCCGTAACTCCTCGAACGCCCGGAAATGGGGGGTTGCTGGGGTGACTCTGAACAACTTTTTCCTTTACCGAAATGTTGTTTGAAGCTTCGTTTTTGAATTATTAACGAAAAACACTGGCCAATCAGAGCGCGCGTAGAGCCCGCGCCCAGGCACGGGAGCGCTGACTCTCATCCGCGCGCGATCGTGAACAAATGCGTACGCGTGACTTCTCGGTTATCGATCGCTGTCAAAACATTTGACTTTGCACCGCTATTTTTATAAGGCTTAGAGAAATGGCGGGCGCTCTGATTGGCCAGTGTTTTTCGTTAATAATTCAAAAATGAAGCTTCAAACAACATTTTGGTAAAGGAAAAAGTTGTTCAGAGTCACCCCAGCAACCCCCCATTTCCGGGTGTTCGAGGAGTTACGGGACACCCTGTATACTAAAAACGTATACTGCAAGCGAAAAGTATATGTAAATGTGAGCGAGATGAAAATTTGTCGCAGACATTGTTTCGATTCAGCGGAATGAAACGAAACCGAATGTTCGAAGTAGTATGACGAACTGAATTATTTACACGGAGGACAAAGGAGTTATTTACAGTGTCACGATGGATACATGATGACGGTTAACGTAATTTGCAACATTAGAGCTAGAAGCAGATCGATCCTTTTCATCGTGAAATCATTCGCCGCGCCGGTACCGATGTTGCAAAACGAGGTTTCGCAGCAAGTGGTGCAAACAGATAGTTTTGTACGTTCGCCGATCACTATACATCCAGGCTCGCATTTGATGGTACAGTTTCTCTCCACTGACCAAGTTTGAGGACTAGATGTTGAATTTTCCGTGCTGGTGGTATAGGAAAATCGTTTCACCTGAAAGGCGAAAAATTCAACGTAGATAAGACATTTAAAAGCGAAACAAGTATGAAATGCGATATAAAATTAATACTTGTAAAATTTTTTTTGTCTCTTTTCACGCATCCTTCGAATGCTCGAACTGTGCAATTTTCTGATAACGTTCACGTTTAACGATGATCAAGATAATTCACCAAATAAACATCCCGTAGATAAAATAATTTTCAAAATTAAAAATAATGCGAATATTTGCATGTCCGTTTCGTTGCACTTGAGACACTTTACATTCGAATTTATTATCGATGCATAAATATTGCTGCAATATATTTTTTCAAGTAGAGAAAATGTGGTATCGTTTGCAACATGTTATTTACCATAAATTATTATTACTTAAATACCGTTAAAGTTTCATCTCTCGAAACTCGTCGTTTCTAAACCGATACGAATATCGAGCAATGATAACAATTTCTCCATTATTTCGATAAATATTTGTAAGACATTTCTAGAGAACAATTCCAACCCCGATGAACGGCACGATTATTGTCTAATTAAACGAATTTGTTATTTTTACGTGGTACGATAATATTACGAATGTGTCACGAATACATTAGTTCTATCTCCAGCATATCTCTGCAGATTTGACCAAATTGGTTGGTACGTTCTTGCTGTAAAAGCATGGAAGAGACAAAGTATCAAGCATCTGTTGAAACCCGCGCGTGCCCCACGTATAATCAACAGGCATTTGAATCGGTGTTATCATTTGTCATTACCATACAGGTCCTTTTGTCACCAGTGCACTTGTGCTGGAAAGCGCTGTAATTTCCGGTGATATTGGAGCATCTATCTCCATCTTCCATCGTGTCGCACTGATAACACCATAAATCGTTTTCGCGTTTAGAAGCTGCGTGAGTTCGATGCTTTTTGGTTAACAGTTGCCCTGATAATTGCACAAAATCAATCGATAAGTATTTATTCGCTTGTTTATTCGCGTAAATTGGTACGTACTTCATTTGTCAATGTGCGAGAAAATTTTTCCAATTGAAAAAATCTCATTTAGCGTATTATTTTTCATTTAACGATAACCTTTACCTGCAAAGGTGCGTTTCGAGAGAATTATGAAAACATTCGAAATGAAAATAATAAAAGTAAGAAGGATTTGTGTACGCTCGAACTTTCTTGTTCTTCTTAGCAAGTTAATGCAACTACCGTCTAAGAATTTGCAATAAATAATTTACAGATATGTGAATTTAGAGGTCAGATAAGACGAAATGATAACAAATTTTTTTTTTTTATGTATTAAAACAGATTTACTTCGAATTTTATTTTGTGCCAAAAGATTACGAATTTTGAAGTACAACTTTCTCAGAAAATTGCGGACAAATATGTTTCTCATTAAAATTTCAGATAATAATGATTTTTACTTTATACTCAATGAAGATAAAGAAACATAGAATTCTCAAATGTAACATAAAATCTTTTTTAACGAATTGCCTGATTTAACAAAACTGGAATCTCTTCTGTATTACAGACATTAGGTCCATATACAGGTAGTTCTCACCTTTACGAATTAATTCGTAAATCGAAAATTCGTTTTAAACGATCATTACGTCCGCATACACTACGTGATTCCCCGCACAATTTAAAATAAAAATGCCAGTCCAAAAAATTCGTAAAGTGGGAATTTGTAAAGTGAGAATTACCTGTATTTTTTCATGGAGAAGAAATTGTATAACCTTTCACAGAAAAGATATTTTACCCGCTTATTAAATTCAAATACTCCGCAAAATTAAAAAGTTTTTAAGCTCAAATAAGCTTTTTCTAAATGAAATAATTTTGCACTAAATGCTGTACTTTCACCATGTTGCACAATAAATATTCATGCATTCGAGATAAGCTTTCATAAAATAATGATATTCAAAACCCCATAGAATGCTCCATATATTTTTATTCGCTTATTATTCAAAAGATAGATACTTCTATCATTTTGAAATGATATAAATAAATAAAAAGAAAATTTTAGCACTAAATTTGTAATGTTAACAAATTGACAATGAAATAGATTCTCTAAGAAATCCAAAGTGCAAGCAACAAATGTAAATTCCCCGTACTTATGGTTAAACGAATTTCAATTCAAATTTTCAACCATGCTCAAACATTACTGTTTACACAACTTCTAGCAAGAATGGTAACACCCAAAAGTGGAAGCTTCAACAGGTGTAGATATAGTCAGGAACACATTGTTAATTTGCTGGAAGAGTGGCACAACAAACGAGAATAAATTTTTCAGGCAATCTGTTTGAAATTCTTTTGTCGTAGAAAATTATTAACTACTCAACAATTTAGCGATGAACAAATTCTTTTTCTTACAATTTAGCTAATAATCTTTAGATTTCGACAGTCTCTAATAAAATATTGTTTCTGCGTTGCTTACTATTTTGAAGAAGGGTTAAAACAGGCCTATTTTGAATTGTGACATTATTCGCATTAAATAGTACAATTTTTACTTTAGTGACACTTTTTCAAATAAAAATGGAGTTTTAGACTGAATTTTTGCAGGTATCCAAAAATTAACGATTTTTGAGATCCCTCACTCTTCTAACAAACCAACATATACACGATATACAGACGAAATTCCATTTCTTCGAATATCTTCCAAATATCAGGCTAACGAACCATTATTTCACAGAAACTAGTTGTTTATAAGCACAGTAACATGCCAAATACAGTTCGAAAATAATTAATTCTTGAAACTTCCACTTGAGTTTCCCCGAGAAACTTCAAATCACCGAAGAAACTCCTAACCTCGCCAACATATGCCCGTAAGAAAGCGGCGGAACAAGTGGTCAGACAGGGAAGGGAAGGCTCACCATTGGCGATTATCAGCGACACGAAGATCAGGAAGCACGTGGCAATGGCGTACGTTTCGCCCGCCATGTGGATGAAAAACAGTACGTCAGGTGTGGGAATTAAACGGCTCGCTGGTATTTCTCATCCACTGCCCACATCCTCGTGTATACTTGCGGACGCGTTGAAACGCGACGCGAAAGATTCGAGCGTAGCGATCTGCCATATTGAAGCAGCTGGAGTCTGCGCCAGCGGCCTGTTCCTACGGTTGTTCTAGAAACCTCGAAACCATGAAAAATCAATATCCATGGCAACCGAAAGATCCTGACCGTTCAGCGGGAACGTTTGACGTCAAAGTTTCTGCGCATCGCGTCACTTCTAGGAAACAGTTCGTCGTCGCGGAATCGATGATTCGTCGACACCATAGCTAAATCCGACTTGTAGTAAACGTAATTTGCGAACAGCTAGACCGCAGTTGGGTATCGATGAACGCGATCGATCCGGGAACGATCGTAGCTCGATGCTAACCGAACCTTTAATCGAGTCCTACTGTAACATAGTAAACGCTTCGGCGTATTTATTTTCTCCCCGTGCAGATGCGTATACGGAGGTCGAATTTCGGAGGCAGACAGGTGTGATTAACTCTCACCCCGTAAACGTGGCTCAATTTTGTCCGAGGTAGTAGTAATAAGCTTTCGTTCCCCTTCGTAAGAAACGTTCTTGGGTGGTGCAATCTTATTTAGAATGTGTAACCCTTCGTAGGCAAACTGGATCTTTGATGACGCAAGCGAAATTTCACTCCTGGTTTTTTTTTACCCAAAGGAATTTTTATTTTTATTGGGAAATGTGACTTGACGAACAATTGTGTGATACAGTAGAGGCTTGGATAAGTGCTCTAGAATTTTTTCAAATTTTTTCAGAGCTTGAAACATTAGACTGAGAAAATTACACTTGGACACAAACCACCGAGTGTGCCTACGGAGTGTGACAAAATATGTTTGCCTACGGAGGGTTAAAGATGTTGTACGAATTTTTTCAGATTTCTGTAAAAAACTTTTAACCATAAATGACCCAGGAATACTGTTCAAGGGTACCAAAAATACGTTTACGGAATAAGGGTTAACTTTTTTATGGTATTGTTGATAAATTGTGGGGGTAGAAGAAGGTGAACGTGTTTATTTTGATAGGTCAAGTTTTGAAACATTTGTCCAACTCTTACTCCATAAAGATGTAAGAGACTTCTCGGAAATTGGCACTTCCATTCTGCCCCCTGAAAAAAGTTTTTAGGTAGTAGAGTCTGTTTTAGAATGTTTAAAGAAGCTGTACGAATTTTTTCAGATTTTTTTAAAGTCTTCCTAATAAAATAATTAATATTAACCTTTTTTCGCATTTATAAAATTACTATTTAACCCTGAGGCAGCGGATGACGTGATAGCTGCACGCATGGCGGATGCCGGGTCAAATATGACCCATTGCTAAAATTTTTTCCATAGTCAAGTGAAACCACACTTTTCTTCTTATAAATTTTGTTTAAAATTACACAGATGTAATGTGATTAAAATAACAGGCATATTTACAATACAAGAAGAGGCGAATTGTGTCTTTGTTTCTAATGTCGGTTGAAACAAGAAACATCTAAAAACTGGGTCAGTGGTGACCCAACATCCGCCGTTCGAAGTTTAATAAATAATAATGCCTTCGTGATACAGTTAATCCCGATGAAATTAAAATAATCGAATTTAATAACGGAATATAACCAATTCCAATTTCGATATTTCCAGTAATTGATCTATGAAAATACATTGGAAAACGCGTTGAACGTAAATGTTACCACGCTTACAGTTTAAAGGTAGGAAAAATACGTTCACGGAATAGGGGTTAATTTTCTATTGAGAATCAAAAAGAAAATGATCAGAATGAAACGTTCGCAGGGATACGTTTATTCCGCCCTTCTTGTCAGACGGTGAAAATGAATTAGCGGGGCTTGCCAGGAATACTACAAAGGAACTCAACGCCATAGCCTGCATGCGTTTCGCACGAAACGTGCCTCTGACCATGACGGAATGAAAGCCAGCTTGTTCGCGCATCTCACCGAAGAAATCCGATAACTAAAATTGTTTCAAGCGAGCTCCCCTTAAATGCTACCAGTGTTTCATCGAAGTTGTTTACAGGAACACGTTTCTCGCTTCTCCTTTTAAGGAATTCAACTGTAATTAAGAGGATATTTTCGGTTCGCCTTTGCAAAAGTAGTTGAAATGTGTGCAACAGGCTGAGGGGGTCAAAAGTGCCTTTGAGCCAATTTGCTCGCGCTGTGGACCATTCGATAGCTTACCGAAAGAAAACATTTGACACCAAGTAGTTATGCAGGGTACAGGGTAAATTCGGATCGTCAGTTTTTGGGTTATTCTCCCTTTCTAGTGGTATACGAAAATTTGGAAAAGATCCTGTACATATTGCATATACACTACCGGCCAAAAATTTGGAATCACCTCCCAGTTTTCATCAATACTGAATCTGCTACTAATTTTTTATAGACTTGAAGTTTATCTCAACTCTACATTTATTAATTTATCTCATATCGACTGATTTGAGCGATAAAAAGTTCCAAAAGCTGCTGAATTTTTTCTGGAAATTTCTGTGTAAATTGCAATGCACAGTGATTCCAAACTTTTTGCCGGTAGTGTATGAAGGCACATGTTGGGGAATTTTTTCCGACTTTTTCGTTGCAAATCCTAGTTGTAAGAAATAAAATAATGGAGATATTTTTTGAAATATTGACATACCTATTTTTGTATTTTTTTTAGTAGCAGTATATTAATACAACTATTAGCCAGCAGACAAAGTTTTGGGTCGTCTAATTTCTTAATCTTGACATGTTTTCACACAAACCTCACGATTCGTAAGTGTTTCGATTTTATTATTGAAATTTACACTCTAACATTTGACAGACACGTCGTTGCGAATGGCATAGTATAAATTTCACAACCTTAGTGTACATCTTCTATTCACAAATAAATGTATCTTGTAAACACACATATCGTTGATTTTAAATTAAAACATTCTCCATTTTCCAATGTTATTTCCATCTTTGATTAGGTATAAAGTACATAAAGTGAAAATTTTATATCATTGTTATTTTGCCAGGATAAAGAATATAAAACACGCGCCTGTGTATTTGTAACGTAATTGATTTGTAATTAAAATTGTAAGTGAGAAATTTTTAATACTGATAAATTATCGTTTCACTTTCTGATTACGCGAATGTCAAAACGAGATCTCGCGATAAATATATGCATAAAAAGAAACGAATTACGCAACTGAACTAGCGCTTCGTGCGGTAGTCGGAAATTTTGTGTTTCTGTGTCCGTAAAGCAATTTCTAGACCTTGCCTTCTGGCCCCAACAGTTAACTATGTGATAAAATACTTTAATCAAATTTCGCAAAAATAACTTGACTAAGCGTCCCAATTACCTTAACACAAGAATTTACATCACATTATGTCTCTCTCTGTATCGTACCAATTTTATATAGAATATGTATAACATTTTTCCATATTATTGTAAATAACGGAAATATTCCAGGTGGACAAAGTTGTTGCTCCACCCTGTGTATTCCATGAACCTTCTACTCACGCAAACAATACGAGTCACAGATGACCCAGCTTCGTCGGCCAACGGTTAATAGCGTATTTATTTAATACTTTATAATAAGTTCTCATCGTAGATTCGAAAATCTGGAACATTTGACAAGGGACTGCAGAGAAACCGAAAGGGATATCAGGATGGAAGACAGGACAAGAAGATTGTAGAGTGGTTCGAGAAGGTGAAAAAGAAAAGAAAGAGAGTGGCTGATAACACCAAAGAGAATATTAAAGTAAAAGGGAGGGGCAACAATTAATGGATAATAAGTAGGGTGATAAGTTAATAGAGTACGAGGGAATGTGAATGGAAAAAAGAGAGAGAGAGAGCGAATCGAATGAGTGAATAAGATAGTTTTATAAAACGTAGGTTGTTGTAAACCAAGTCCAATTCATGACTTTGAGGCTGAATAAATAAATATGTAAATAAATCAAATAAGTTCTCATCATTTACGTTAGTTAAATTGAAAGTGAAAAAAGGAATTCATTAATCGTGAAAGAAAGTTTACCGGAAAATTTTATTTACGCAGCCTAACCGAAACGTGCGGCGCCTGATGTTTAGATTATCGCGCAGCCCTTCTCGAAGATTAGGGTTGGAGCGTAGCGTGGACGTATTTTCTTTGCTGCGGAATTTAGATTACCCCGTCACCAAAAATTACCATTTTTTTGGAGTATATAAGGAGCAGAATTTTGATGCTCTGGAGTTCAGACTCTTTTCACTCCTGTGGATTTTTTGTAAATTTTTCCGCTTCTGATAAACTGGCTACCGCTGGTAGGAGCAGATCAAAGTTGAGGTGCCTTCAACACTCCCTGGATGACAACATCTTGTTCTAGGAGTTCAGTCTCTGATTCAGTCGTCACTCTGACAGTCGAAATTTTGAAACTCAGCAAGATCGAGTTCCATTATCTTTCGAAGCATTACTTTACATTATTATTACGTAATATAATACGTGTAATAGTATAATACGTAAGTGTCAACTATATAGACAATCCTGTCTAAGACTCCCATGCTTAGTCGCCGTGTAAAGTGAAGAAAGGATGTTCTTGCCTACCTAAACTAGAACTTCGCCTGAAACAGAGACAGTGTAGGATTGTAGAGTAGTGGGGATGTCGTGTCTGCCTATTTTCCGCTCAGCTGTCTCTTGGCCGACCTTCAAATTCATTCAATGCCCCATCACAGGATCATTGCCCGAGAAGGCGTGGCTTACTGCCCGAGAAGGCGTGGCTTACTGCCCGAGAAGGCGTGGTTTACTGCCCGAGAAGGCGTGGCTTACTACCAGAGAAGGCGTGGCTTACTGCCCGAAATGCCCCATGGGCAACTTGCTGAACGGCTCTCTTCTAGACCAAAAAACACATCAACAAGAAACGAAAATCCTCTGAACCACATCTTGGGGGAAAATACGCTAAAGTGGAGTCTAGAAATGTCCAATTAGAAAATAGGGCGGTTTCCCGA